ATTAACTAACCAATTTTTCAAATTCATTCTCTCCCACCCAGAAAAACCCCAAATGAACAGAAATACCTCCTAGTCTGATGCACTCACTCAAACCAAAGTTCCAGGGAGATGATGTTTTTTCTGTCCTTGATATCTCTGCCATTTATCTAAGGATCAGGAAAAATCTTACCGTGGCACATATTCCTTCTATACTTAGCATCAGGGGCAAACGCTGTTTGTGCCTGTGTGCTGTTTCATGGATATTAAGTTTGTTTTCCTAACTAACCATCTAGTTCTTTGTGGATGAGAGCTATGCAGTAGAAGCAGTGAAAATAAAGTAACAACCACCGTAGTGTCATTGTCCTCTAGAAGCACCGGAGTCAGAAGAGCGAGAGTAGTCATAAACATTAATTGGGTTTCCACCGTATCCAGCATTATGTTAAGCCCTTTTATGAGGGTCATCTATTAGGTGGGTATTATGAGTCTCCCTGTTTTTACAGAGGACCGAGGCTTACCAATATTAGATAACTCATCAAAAGTCACACAACCAGTCGCTGAATTGGAATTTTGACAGTCTCACATCCGAGAATGTGCTTTTAAACAAGTACATAGTGATGGATTCATGCGTTCAAGTTAATACACCTTCATCAAGTGCACGCTCTGTGCTGGGCACTGTTCCAGGCACTGGGGTTCAGCTGTAATACAATTGCCTGTATCTCCTTCATGAAGTCGCACGTAGTATTTGGGAGAGACAGGCAATCACCTAGAAAAATATACAGCTCAGTATCTGATGGGGGTGATAAGTCTAGAGAGAAAACAGGGAAGGAATATAAGGCAGGGAGGGAAGAAATCCAACAGTCACCACAAGGCGTCAATGAGAAGGGGGCATTTGAGGAAAGGCTGAAGGCAGTCAGGGAAGGAGCCAGAAGGACATACCTGGGGGACCAGCATTCCAAGCGGAGGGAACAGCAACAGAAAAAGATCTGAGTCAGCGCGGGGCCTCAGAGCTCCTGGTAAAGTTTTTATTGTGATTTGCATGGAAAGGCGCTGGTAATTTGAGCAGCCGGGGAGACAAATTAGGAGGTTCCTGCAATATCACAGGGAGGCAGTGACGGGGGCTTGGACCAGGGTGGTGACAGTGGATATTAGTGAGAGATAGTCGGATTCTAGATATGTTTCAAAGATAGAGCCCACAAAATCTCCTGATGGATTGGTTGTGGGAATAAGAGAGAGGGGAAGGAGAGAAATAACACAGAGGTTTGCTTCCTCGCTTGCTTGATTTTTACCAGGGCGACTAAAACGTTGGGACCTCTAGTGGCGAGATGCAGACTCCTATAGAAGCCGGTTTGGAGAAGTCAATGAAGGGTTTGGACTCATTAAGACTGAGGCATCTGTCAGGCCTCCAGGTGGGGATGTGGGCTACACCGGAGAGGAGTTCCTTGGTAGACAAGAGCATAGAGATGTATTTAGAGGCAAGCAATGGAGGGACTGAGCGTAGAGAAAGAGAGTAGTCTGAATTTAAGCTCTGAGGCTTGGATGGTGGGCAAGCCATAGCAATTATTAATGGGGAAGTCCTCTCAGTTGTAAAGAAAGAAACCAAACGAAGACAGTTTAGATGTGCCGTTTAAGCCTCGCACTCAGTCAGGTTAATGATGTGCAAATTGCCTGATTCACCACTCATCTAAGAATACATTTTTGGGCCCTTTTGTGGATTAGCCAAATAATTGTAGGCAGCTGTTCCCCTTCCCTCCCCACAACCCCCCGAATAGTAACATGGACATTCCTGAACAAATGTTGTACCAGGGCACAGCTTGAGACCTCCACGAACCAATGGAAATTAAGCTAGAGAATGAAGATGTGAAGATACTGATAATTTTGAGTTACACCAGTTAAATTTCATTAAGTTTTTCTGTTTAAAGAAAAAAGTCAATACATATTCAATTGCTTAATCACTTAAACTGTTTAGGATCTCAACTAAAGATGACCACTTATCCATGGCCCATTTGAATGGAGATGGTCTAAGTATGCTTCCTGTTCCATTAAAAAAATCATTTAAATGTATATAATGTGTAAAAGCTTTATCCAATGAGAATGTCTACAGCTGCATAAACATTTATGCTTTCAGACACTTCTAGATATAAGGATAAGGAGATCAATAATCCCAATATCCTTCCACCAATCCTAACTCATCTTTGATTATATGAAAGAAATAATACAACTAAATCAGTGCTGTGTGCTTTCATTGCATTGTCATAGGTATTATCTTATAATGCTCCCAACATAACTCAGTAGTGTTCACTGTACAGTTAGAAAACCAAGGCCAAGAGAGGTCAAGGGCCAGAAAGCCAATGAGTAATAGAAGCAGAATTTGTTCTCTTCTTTTTCCAAATCCGAGGGAACATGTCTTGGCACAACAGCTGCTTACCACGAAATGCTGTTTTCTTGTTTAATTATAAACCCTCCTAAACATGGTTCTAATCCGCAGACACTTGTCTGGATTCCATTAATAAAACCACTATGTCATATTAGTTCCTAAAGAGGCTTATGAATTGCACAGTCATGCCTTCCCTGTGTAGTTCAATGCCGATTTCAACGTGCACATCCTGAGTGCCCACCCCGTACAGATGCAGTGGCCTGCCTGTCCTTCACACTTACACATGTTGCATGCTGTTTTAGGCTGTCCACAGCCTAGATAAACACCAGTCACATTTCTTACTTTCAACAGAGAGTCCCTACCCCATTTTTCCAAAGCATTCTTTACCATTACTTGCAGCCGCCATTTAAAACTTTAGTTTGTACTGTTTTCTGACAACTCTGTAATTAGCCTCCTTGGTGTATGTATATAAATTATATCATAAGAACGCTTTTTTTAAAAATGAACTGGTGATAAAACCCATGTTAACAAGTAAGACCAGATTTCTTTGATTTTTTTTACCTTTTCCCTTCATGAGCATATATTCTAAAATGTGTTGGAGTGTGTTAACACAGATGAAATGAGTAAATCCTGAGAAAGTATGCTGCTCACAGACATCCAAAACACTGTAAAATATAAAATGAGTGCAAACTAAACTATATTTCCTTTCCCCCTGCTTCAAATATCTGTCCATAAACATTGGCACACACATAGGACTATATTGTGTCAGTTGTAATAATATAGAAAAATAATCTCAATTACCATAAGCTAGAAAGTTATGGTACCTAGTCTTTCAAATAAATTACCATATGTCACAATTTGGCATAAACCCTGATCCTAATGAATAATTCACATTTTGTGCATTAATAATGCATGTCCTTTTCCTATCGGAATGCTCCCTAACACAGAATGGAGAGCTCTTAACAATTTCCTCAATTGACATGAAGGAATAAATGCAAAATCAGAAAGGTGCTTTTGAACCCTCCCTTTCGTATCATCATAGCACTCTGGCTGGCCCATAAGGTTGTCAAAAATGTGAAGTTCCTATTATTTCTTGCCCTTTGCATGAGAGTCACTCAGTTAACTACACCAACAACAGTTGCTCCTGCTGATGAGAATATCTGCATAGCAAAAAAGGAAATCGAGGAAACTCAGGCAGGGCTGCTAGGGTTTGGTTAGCTCTGTTACATTTCTCCCTAATTATATATTTATATATTCATAATAACAAGGGGCATAATTACTAAAAGACAGTAACCAGCAGAGAAAGAAATAACAAAAAGAACACAAAGAAAGAAGCAAAGAAAGAAAGAAAGAGGAAGGAAGGCAGGAAGGAAGGAAAGAAGGAAGGAAGGGAGGAAAATAAAACACATTAGGCAAGAGTTTTTAATAATTACAGATGTTTCCCATCAGATTTTCCTTTCTAGCTGTTTACCACGGTATAATTTCCTTTGAATTTTCAGTAAAATTATCTGGCATGTTAAAATAATAAAAATAATAATAAACCCAAGGACCAAATAAGAGCAAGGTGCCCGTGACATATATCTGTAGAGAAAGACATTTATCACTCTAACTCTACTTCCATTGGGGCCATGCCACACCATTACTGACATTATTAAACAAAGGCAGGACAATACTTGACACAAGGCAAAGAGAAATGAGGTACTTTGAAACTAAAAAAAAAAAAAAAAAAAAAAAAAAAAATCATTCCAGGATCCTCCCCCGCCCTCAGGAATTCCTTTACCGTCACTCCAGCCCAAAGACAAGCAGAGCGAGTGCCCTCTGAAGTTCCATCAATGAAAGGGGAAAAGAAAGGGAGTTTTAAGAGAGCAGCCATCCCTGGGCCAGCATCTGTCCCCTACGAGTACCCTCAGATTCATTCATTCATTCTTCGAGTACTTATTGAAGGAGCACTTGCTCAGTGCCAGGTATTACGTTTCACCCTAAATAATCTTGCAGCGGGTTCCGCTGTGTATTCCAGCAGCAGATCTCCAGCACCCAGGCTAAGGACAGGGCACCCTTCAGATTCGGCTATCTCCCCCCAACTGGACCCGGCCGGAGGCCACCCGCACCTCCTCTGCCAACACCTGCGACAGGGGTGGCTCACTGTGCAGCTCCCGGTGCCCGAAGGGCCCTTTCACCGGCCACGAACTTCTCCCTGGGGTCAGATGGGTCAATTGACCTTGTTCGCAGCCAGCCGGCCCATCCGCTGGAAAAGTTAAGTTGGCGGCGAGTGGGAAGAGGGGCACCGGGGGCGGGGGGGGGCATCCGGCAAGATCGGCACCCCGCCCGGGCTCTCCGCTGTAACTCCCATGGCTACTGAGCAATATTTATTTGGAGTAGATGGGCTCCAGGGCGTGCTGGAGCCGAACACGCGGCCACCGTCAGAAAGCCAAGTCACCGAGAGATAAAGATAGCTCCATGACACACCTAGAGCTGGCCGCGCCGTGGCCGCCGCCGGAGGTGTGGGTTCCGGCGGACACGGCCACCGCGCGGCTCCCCAGCGCGCGGCCAGGGGCTCTGCGTCCTCCCTCCGAGGATGCTGGCCAAGGAGCGAGACAATCGAACCGGCGAACGGGGAAAAAACACCAACACCAAGACTGACACTTACCCCGAGGCGTCTGCTCCGGATCCTCACGTACCCTTGCTTCACTATGTCATTAAAATTGGAAGCCATCCCGGACCGCCGGTGACCCCGTCACCCAAGCGCACGCACCCTAGGTGGCTCTGGGGAGGGCAGGGCAGGCGTGGGGGGCGGGGGAGAAAGTTGAAGCCGGGGAGCCGCTTCGGCCGCCGCTCCGCGTGGCTTCAGCACGCGCGCATCACTTTCTCTGCCCCCCGCCCCCCGCCCCGAAAAGCGGGAGGCCGCCGGCTTGCAGCCACTGTGGGGGAGCGCAGAGAGCGCGGCGCGCGAGGCGAGGCTGGAGCGCCGGCGTCAGCTGACTCATCCGCCAGCCCGCCGGGAGGAGGAGCGGCGGCGGCTCGGGGACCCAGCCCTGCCTCCTTCCCCAGCCGAGGAGGAGGAGGAGGAGGAGGAGGAGGAGGA